CAACACCAAGAGAGATCTAAACAACCTACATAATTATATTTAAACATCTAAGTTAGAATTGGATTTTGATTTGACAAATGTTGTTTCTTTGAATTTCTCTCCAAAATTGTATCTAGAGATATTGCTTATTAAACGTATTCAACCAATGTTTTGATCTTATCATTTTACAAATTAATGTTACATTAAAAGAGACTGTATCTAGTGACACATGGTTGCTTCATATCTTTATAATTAAAGAAAAATTATAAATTAAATTCTCTGTGGTGGCGAAGTGAATACAAATTAAAACGCATTTCTTTAGTTGAATTAATAGAAAGTACAGGTTAAGGACAGAATTACTGGACAAAAGTATTCACATGAGAAGATTCTGATCAGTTTTTATGGGTGGCAAACCGAAAAGTAACATAAATTCACCCATTAGAATAAATGATGAAAATGTACATTGAACCCCTGCAGAAGAAATCATTCCACAGCCTTGAGACTTGTATGGAATTCTCAATTTTTTATTCAAAACCAATTCCAGAATCCTTTCCACTAGTTTATGCAGCTCATTTATGCTGAAGTGTCCTTTCAAACCATACGAATATGAATTCTGCCTAGTGCGAGCAACATTACAGTTTTGGTGCCCGAACAAAATCCATGTTGTTCTAGTAACTTTTAAGCTGATTCACTCAATCTCTTACTTGGCCCTGTATATGATTTTTGGCACCATTTTCTTAAACAACATCAACACCAAACTTCTTTAATATCCTTATCAGAGTTAACCATAGACAAGATAATACTTCTCTTTTAACTTATTGTCCCGCCAGTACTTTCATTTGATCGTCTACTTTTTATTGTTTCCCTGTAGAGATAGAGTGGTTTATAACAGGTGTAAAAAAACATTGGGATCTTGTTTGGAAAGATATTTTGAGAAAAAATATAGGTCATATTATTATTTGCAGAACAATTTAAAAAAATAAATGCCTAATTGTTCAAAATATTCCCCCTAAGTTCGAATTCAGTTGCTACAAATTGATCCCAAAGAAAGGAATCTGTAGGTTTTAAGTTGGGAGATCTTGGCGGTCAAGCAATAAAACCCCCACAACCAGTCCATCGTTTAGGAAAATGCGCGTGCAACAATTACTTGTTTTTTCGTAATGGGCTGGAGCGTCGTCGTTTTGACGCCACATTTGCTGTCGATCAAGAAGTGAAGGTATGTTCCACCTACACAAAAAATGGTGGCGTTCTGCATTAAAACTGGGTGGTAAATTTTCGAAGTCAAACAGTTCTCCATTAAAGTTATCAACCCAAGTATTCACATCAAAACAGTGTTGAAATGGCGATAGTCTAACATCATGTAGATTTTGAAGAATACGTAAATGGTAATTAAGAGCGCTATTGATACCATTTTTAGTAAAAATTAGCCCTAACTCTCTAAAACATTCTAGTTAAAAATATTGAATCCTCGATAATTTTTTTGTAACGGAAAATAACATAAACGCACCGGACTGTAATCTTTCGGCTCTAATTTCTGGTCGCGTTGAACAAATATACCCTTAATTTTTCAACGATGTTCTTTACCACTATTATAAATCACCCTGCATATTACACAGTCCGAGTATAGACCACAGACCACCAAATTAGTACGGAGAGCGGGGTAATTATTGAATGGATTCTGCCAGCCAAATTATTTGACCTTGCGATTTTAACTAAAAATAGCACCACTCTCAAATTGGAGTGATATCTACATTATTCAAACTATTGTTTCAGCCGACATTTGTATGAGAAACCAGTGACCATCAAAATGTTATAATAGTAGGTAAGATAATCAAAATGTAAATTCAATTTAGTATGTACAATAAGCAAAAAGAAATTTTTTGAAACGTTAAAATATTGTGATTCACGCTTATGTTTTAGAATTGGTAACACCACAAAACAATGAGCAAGTATCCATAAAACACACAACAGAGACAAATACTACGGATAGTAAACGTAGTATGGATGTATTCTAAAACTAGTTTGGTGCGAGCGTTGTTCTATAATTTTAGAATTGATTGACATAGTTTCGACTTTTAACTATGAAGAGCGTACAATCAGAGTGTTAAAAAAGTTAGCCATTTCTTGGATTACGTAAAGGCGGCGCTGATGTAAGTAAGCAAAGTATGAAAAAGACGCGCGACGCTGTAAGCGCAACTTCGTTACTAGACCCTCACATCAGCGCTACAACGGCGACTCCTGAAAGTTTAATTTAACTACTGGACTCGCCCAACTGTCATTTTACCCATATAAACGGCAATCGCTCAGACGTGTGCGAGAGAGATGGAACTAGTAAGGGCTTAAGCTTCGTTCACAGAATTTCGACTGCAACGCGCTACATTTAATTCAACCAATAAGCCAGCTATATTCGATTTCTTACCCTTTTTTTCTGTTGGGCCGTATTCAAAGACTATAAAAATAATATAGAGACTAAAAGACAAAACATTTTCATTTTTTCCAGTAGTGTAGGTATGTAAAAGGGATTATTATATTACTATCCTAATTACAGTACAATATATTTGAATTGTTTTAGCTATAATATTATTCAAATAGTTTTTATAATGCTTTCTTTATGTATTTCTCGATTTATTTTCCTCATATTGTAAACTCGATGGTTAACATTACTGCAAGCTCTTCTGACGTAGTTGTTCCAAATATTTCATATTTTCTTACTTTGCAGAACTGCATAAATTGAAACTATGTCGATGCTTTCTTCGTTCAACATATTATTTGAAGAGAATTTTTTTGCTGGAGCACATTATAAGCACATTTCAGTTAAAACGTTAAAACTTTTTCTTTATATTCGTTTTGATGTTAACTGACATTTTATTTTGAGGATAGGGGAAATAATTTAATCTAATATGTTGTCATCAGAGACAACTCTACATGGTCAATCTTTTCAGAAAGTTGCAAAAAGTATAAACATGTTGGTACCGTCTTTCCTACCTATGAAATTTAATTTTTTCTCCACATAAACGTCTCTTTACGCAATTTATCTCAGAACACGATTTCACCATATATAGTTTACGAATCTTTTACATACACTAACTAACTCACACAAAAATTCAAGAAATCAATCAATAATGTCAATACATGACATTTACTTCAAAGTTTGTTTACAGCATTTTGTACCGGTATACCCGTGTACCATCATTTATTTTACCGGTATTTGCCTCAACTAGCTTCATCTGCCTTGCACACATCAGCACGATTGACCTCTCTTTCTAGGGCCAGTCCATAGTTTACTAGGTCTATGATCCGAATAGACCTTTTTAGTAATGACGTCACATACGATATTAGAAATATTAAAGAAATTTCAGACCCCAAGTGACAAACTAATAGAATTATGGAATTTATATACCTATTTAAATTAATAGAATATTGACTTTATAGTAATTAATAAATTAAAATTATATCAATGTTACTGAGCACGCGCATTAAAGATAATTTCATGTAAGCGAAGTAGCCTCGTAACAGTTTTAACGGTACGGTCAACAAAACTGTACCACATACTATACGAACTAAGAATGTCCATAACCATCTTCCACGATCCATGCCCATTTTGTCCCTTGGGAAGATGGACTTATGAACTAAACTTATGACTTATTGTGTTAAACAGTGCCGTTAAACCGCAAGTTTAATATCAGAACACGATCCCATAGATATACATATATTATCCAATTATGATTATATAGATATATTATCCAGTTATGAACTGCAGACGCTATACCGTACCATTGATATAATGCCACAAAACATAAATGCTGATATTGCTGATACTGTGTAGGCATATGAGTAACTAAATTACTCATATGTGTGTAGGTACTAAGTCTGTTCGACACATTTAGACTCATTTAGAACTTAGCTGACCAAACATTTCGAACGGATCGGAACCAATGCCTGACTCTTGTTGGAACAGACCTACTATAGCTCGATCAAATTCATCTTGCGCGCGAGTTTTATTTGCGCAAAACAATGTTATCGGAGTAGCACCGGAATATGTTATATTATTCACAAACACAATACTGTATTTATAACGAATGCATTCACTATAAATAAATAAAATGAGAATTATATATCATTGAAATATTGAAAAGAATTTATATGCTATACGCTTCAGTTATAATATTTTTTCGGATATCTTAAAAATAGTTTTTCAAGCAGGTAGCTTATTCATATTTTGAAGTTATACTTAAGACACGTATATGAAACATTTTTCAAATCCCATACGTTGCATAAGGGCTACTATTAAGGGAATTTTTTCCTAACTTATTTGCTCCATTCTCGGAATTTTTTAAAACTTGTTGACCTCTAAATTAAAGAAGAAAAAGATGCTCTCGCTTAGATTTGATTTATATTTGATTGATGTGCTTTTAGTTGTGTTATTATAGCTTGAAATAATTTTAAATTTATTTTGGGTGAAGGAAATAAATAGAGAATAGAAATACATATTATATTTTTTAAAGTGATAACAAAAAAAAATATCTGTATTATGGAAATTGTTCGTAATGTGTGACAGATGTTGAGAAATTTCTCGAAAACTGTTCTATCTATCGAAATTAAACTAATAGTTTAGAGATTCAGTGTTTTTAATTTTTAAATTTTTAAATTTTTAAAAGAGGGAGAGGTAAAATTTGAAGTAATGATAATCACTATCTAAAGCTGCCGTGTCCAGAAGTCCTGAAGTCTCTAATCTCAAGTTTAAAATATATGAAATAAGCATCCCGAAAGATTTCGCAAAAGATATATTGACCACCCCCTGTCAAAGGATTATATTCCATTATTATTTTCATTATTAATTTTCGATTAAAAAGTTTATAGAAAATGGTACCTTTATTATTTGAAGCACTACCTGCAAAATATATCGCTAGACAATTTAGAACCACCCTGTATAAAAAGATTTGCTGCTTTCCGCGCCATCTATCTACCACTAGAGAAATTTTTAAAGTGTCTAATGATAATTATCACTTTAATCGCGAATTTTGCCGATTTACTTATTGATTATGATTATATCACTTCATAAAAAGTTGTCAAGAGTGTGATGTCCTGATTTAATATTTATCGTTGAAATTTTTATTAGATTTGGATGTGATTTTAAAGTATATTTGTTGCCATGTCAAAATTTAGAAAACTAAACAATGGTAATACGATTCCTACTATTGGATTGGGAACCTATAAGGTAAAAGATACATTTGAAATACTTAAGTATATTTTATATAAAAAAATATATTTTTGTTACTTTCTTGTAAGAAAGGGTATAATGGTCAATAATTTTAGTTCTATATTTTTTATATTAAGACATTAAATATTACAGCATGTTTAATCTTCAGAACATTAGTATTAAGTAATTTGATTGATTGTGGGGGGTATTCTAATAAACTTATAAATAATAAATTAGCGAAAGAATATCCAGTGAATGTCCAATGTCCAACAAGAAAAATTATAACCTGAAATATCTGAATATATACAAATGTATGCAACCATACAAACATATCGTCATCCATTTTTTGATTAATTTTATACATATATACTTATACGATTTAAATTCCAGTTAAACTATTTTACAAATTATTTAATATATAATAAACCGTGCAAACACAAGAATTGTGGCATATAAATGGGTCTTTAAAGTCATTGATGGGTGTGTCGTTGTTGATCTTGAAAATGGGCATAAGCGACAAAAAAAAATCAACCAGTCTCTTTTTGAATTAAACCCTTAGTATAATGAAAGCATAAATATTCACCTATACATAATTGGTACTAGGTTTTCCATCATACATACCACAAAAAATTGACTTGAAATTACTTTTTTTCTTATTGTTTTCCTGAGAAATTACTCAAATAGTGGTTTTGGTGCTTGCACCCCTTTGCATTATCAATGACGATATGTGATCATTTATGTACCAATAATTGTGTTTGATGTCATCATTTGTAAACTATTGATTTCCCATTGCCACGAAGCCTGGTCTGCTTTGATTTTTTAAATATGTATATTTTAAATTAGAGACTCGATAATTGCATTTATTGAAATAATAGTACTAAATTATTATTATTTTAGGTACTTGAGGACCAAATTTGAAGAAAAAATATCTATTGCTTATTTTTCTTTGCACTGATAAAGTCTTCAAAAATCCAGCTGTTATTAATCACTAATTGTAGTTCATGTAACTTTTACTATATAAAACCTTTCAGTAATCCATTTAAATACTAAACTTTTTGTTGATTCTTCAACCAACTCTTTTTTTGTTTTCTTGTGCACAGTAAAATCCTTGGTAAAATCTTATTTCACATTTTCTTTTTAGTTTATCAGCACAGAAAAAAATAACTCAACTATTTTTGTATATGTGGAATAAGAATTCCATTTTTTTTTTTTTTGATAAAAGCACTAGTTTTGTTTACCTGAAAAATGCCTTCATAGCCCTAAGTGATAGCTGGCCAGGCGTTCATGGCAATGGCAAACTAATAATTGCCAAATGATTTTTTGGGTATAAAAATGTATCTGCTTGACTCCACCATCCTACTGCTTGTATTGGGGATGAAACACAAATATATTTTATATAAATAAATATACAGGGTGTCCCGAAATTAATGGCACACAGAGCAAGGGTAGACTCCTTACAATAAAATTAATGCGATATAGCTAAACTTACCTCAGTCCATTTGTGGATAATAAAGAAATTACAGGGTGTTAAAGTTAAAATTTTGAATTCAAAATTCTTAAAATTTTTAGATAGTTTTCAAAGAATTACTTAAATTTATCGACATAAAACAAGTATAGGTATCTTATTTGTGTAAAATAGATAACAGAATTTTAACTTTCGTATACACATTAAGAAAAAAGTTGTCACCATTTTTTATCAATCATGAGGACATGTACCAACCTCTAGCGTTTACAACACAGTTAAGTCCAGATTCATTTTCTTGAACCCAGAAAACCCTCGAATACGAATTTTCAAAGTAATTCTTTGAAAACTTTCTAAAAATTTTAAGAATTTTTAATTCAAAATTTTAACTTTATCATTCTGTAACTTTTTTATTATCCACAAATGGATAAATGGTAAGATATCACTATATTTTGATGTAAGTAATCTATCCTTGCTCTGTGTCCCACTAATTTCGGGACACCCTGTATATATAACATTGTATATTGTTCAGAAACATTTAAAAAACATGCGAATACCTACCGTTTTTCTTTTTTTTTTAATTTCTAAGAATGCAAAAAATAACCACATTTTCATGGAATTAACTATACTAACTTAATTTAAAAATCTAACTTGAACCTTACTTGAAACATGTTATGTCACTGAAAACCCTTGAGCATAATTAAAAAAAATTCAATGATAAAAGAGAAATGAAATGATGAAGGTATATGATTTTTATGTGTGAATGTACTTTTTGGCTAATAGTAAATAATTAATCACTAATAAATACTTTGGATGATATACAAAAGTGGTACAAGAGACATATTTTAAATATGTTCATTTGACTAGTCACTGGCCTCTGATAAAATACAGTTTCTCCAATTCATCAGATTAGTTATTTGTGTTATTAATAAGGAAACAGTTTGTTAAGGAATTTTAACAATTTTTTCTTTTTTTAGTCGAAACCAGGTGAAGTTGAAGAAGCAGTTAAATATGCAATAGATATTGGGTATCGTCATTTTGATTGTGCCTGGTTTTATGCAAATGAAAAAGAAGTTGGAGATGCACTACAGGCAAAACTTCATGAGGGAGTTGTCAAAAGAGAAGAATTGTTTGTAGTAACGAAGGTAAATTTTTAAGCAACCTGTTATACGAGTATATTAGTAAATTTGTTGTTTTTCAGCTCTGGAATAATTTTCATGAAAAGAAAAATGTTGTACCAATGTTGAGGGAATCATTAAAATCTTTACAATTGGAATATGTAGATCTATTTCTAATTCATTGGCCATTTGGATTTAAAGTAAGCAATTTGTGTAACAAGTCATATTTAATTAAGAAATATGGATTTAAAATATTTATTATTTTAGGAGACTGCTGATGGCCTTCCTACAGATGGTACTGCATCCTACAGTGATGTAGATTATCTTGAAACTTGGGAGGGAATGGAAGAATGTGTAAAATCAGGTTTAACAAAAAGTATTGGTATCAGTAATTTTAATAAAGAGCAAGTTGCGAGGTTAGTCAACAACTGCAGGATTAAACCAGTTGTGAATCAAGTAGAAGTTAATCCAAATATCAATCAAAAAGAATTAATACAATTCTGTAAGGAAAGGGACATAGTAGTTGTTGGTTTCTGCCCTTTGGGACGTAGTACCCAGAGTACTACAATATCGACCTATCCACGATCTACGATATTGGATCCAAAAGTTATAGAGGTGGCAAAGAAATACAATAAAACCCCTGCACAGGTCATATTACGATATCTGGTATGTTGATAAACCATATGATTTCACCTAGACTTTGTCTTTGAAGTATTTGTTTTCATGTAATTAAATTTTATTTGTATTTACAGGTATCATTAGGAATTTGTGTAATTCCAAAGTCTGTAACAAAGTCAAGAATTTTGGAAAACTTTGATATATTTGATTTTGAATTAGAGCAGAAGGATGTAGCATATCTGGATTCTTGTAACACAAATCAGAGAGTCTCACCAATGTCGGCGTATAAAGACCACAAGTATTATCCTTTTTAGTTCAAATTTGATATTTTTCTATACTATATTGTAATAATAATTACTCAATTTACAATGAAACATATTCAACATAAAAAGTGCATTTTGTACAAATATAAAAATATATATTAATAATGTGTAAAACTTTTTATTTTTCCAAAGCTCATTTATTCAACATTAGAAATATATACAGGCTGTTACAAATTCGCTTCTCATTACAGGGATCTCGGAAACGGTAAGAGGTACGAAGTAGCTTAAATGGGGACAAAGTTGCGTAATCAGGGGAGCAACATTATGCCTCTAAAAAATGAAGGGTAACATGGTTAGTTTTCGAAATATTTGAAAAAAACGGAAATTTTAGAAATCCGTTTTTGTTTCATTTCAGTCTTGTTTGAGGTGATATTGAAAAAAGAAGAACACTTTCTCATGGCGACTTTTTGCCCTCTATTGAATGGCATAATCAATTTTTATATGTAACATTTCGTCTCTCCAGGACTATAATCAACTTCTTTTTTTTAAATACGACCATGGAAATTTTATAACATTTTTTGCGAGCCTTCATGTCCCCCAATCCTGTACTGCCTCAGCTCGAACCAGATTCAGACGTTTTGTCTCGAAAAATTCATCCTCAATGTATTCGTTCCAAATTTATCTAAATGTGTTATTTAAATTTCTATGTTTATTGATTTATCGTACACTCTTAAGTGTCGTTAGACCTTGTGAAGTAGACTTACTTACTTAAACTATTATCATCAGACGTTACAATAAAACATCATTAGAGTTTTAATCCCATGATCATAGTTATAGTCTTTCTCAGTTAGTTGGACATGTAAAAAAACGCCTGGCAATAAAATTTAATGAGTTTCATAGGCGTCCCTAAAAAAGTTTTCTGCTAAAGGTAAAAAATTATAATAATTTGTATATAATGTGCAGAAAATTTCTATTATATGTTCATTTGGCCAACAACATATTTTAATTATTTATGTCCTCAAATAATTTGGTTATATTGGTGGTAAATTTCATTTTGTTCCGTTTCAAAAGGTCTCCAAAATGCCATGTTGTAATAATATTATTTCTCCCTTTCGCAATTGTAATATGAATGATTAATAGAAAGTGCCTATAATAATTTAAAATTACCTGAATTACACTAAATTCTGCATTGCTGCACTGCACTGCTGAACAATTTGTCGACCACTTGTCAACGGCTGAGATTTATTGCCCACTGGCCCAATGCAACTGTATTGTATTTTGTTTGCCCGCATTCGCATTCTTTAACTGGGCGTATATATATTTCTATCGCCTCCACGTTTAGTTCGACCAGACCTGTATATGGGTATGGCTAAATAAATACGGAAACAAGTTTTTCAAATATTTCAATGTCGAGTTGCTGTGTCAGCGACTGAACCTGGTACATAGTCATCATCTTGGTTCTTCAATTGATATCGGAAAGACTATATTTCTAGGTTTCTCCAGTACTCAAAATCCAAACAAATTGCGAACTAATTTTTTTCATATATTCACACAAATACGTCCGACATACTTTTTCACTCATTTGCTCATTTTTTAAAAATTTTATTAGCAAAGTTTGATCAGTCTCCTTATTTTAAATGAAACACCCATATACGATTTCATTTTTCAACACCACAAAATTTTGTTCCATTAATCCAGTTCAAAGTTGTGTAAAATTAAACCTTTTTTTTCTAAGGAAATGAAAATATGAGTACGCCATAAATGTTATAGGTATAAGATTGTTTTAACATTTGGGTATTAAAAAATGGGCGAGTCCAGGATCCATCCATTATTTATTTGAATAAATAATTAATTACATGAAATATAATAATTTTAATATCTTACAAAGTAGTTTCCCTTATTTTCTCATCATTTACCCACTTTAACGCACACAAAACTAACCAATAATAATAATAATGATATCAACAAACGTCCAATTTTTTATTGCTAATTCTTATCCGCATAGTAAAAATTAACTAGATTTTTTCTTCTCCTTCGATGCCTCTTGTTATTTCTAAGTTTCTCGCCTTCCTCCTCATCGATGTCGTCATCTACATTCGTCAAATCCGTGTTAGGTAAATCCTTTGCAACATTGGCTAAAGCGTCCTGCAACAGTTCACTCTCACTTTTTGGTCTGGTTTCTTCGGTTTCCTTAACGGTCTCCTCCTGCGTCCCATTAATTTCATTTTCTCCTTCGCTCGGAGGATTGTTAGAGTTCTGGGTTTCCATTGGTTCCCCATGAGAATACATCGCCTTGTCAATCAGGAGTTTATTATCAGTTTTTTCCTTTTTAAGAGATGGTATCACGAATTCTGGAACATCGTTGCTGGCTACGCTTGCGTTACTTTCAGTTCTCCCTCTCCTCGATCCGAGCGGGTTGAACGAATTTTCTTCGGTATTTTCCGCAAGACTTTCTTCACTCTCGGTTCTCTGAATACTGGCCGACCTAATTCTAATCTCGGGCCCGCCGCCGTATATGTTGTTGAAGAAATTCCAGATACACTCTGGGACCTCGGCGGCTTCATTTAGATCTAATTGGTTCAGATTAATTTTAGAATTATCGATAGGCCCCGGCGGCTCTTGGTTCCGTTTCTGAATGAAATTGTGCCACTGGGAGTACCACGAAGTCGACAGGTAGTGAGTGTGGGGTGCGTCCTGATTCTGCGCTTCTCTACTTATTTGTACGAAAGTTTCCATTTCTAATAGCAATCGTTTTTGCAGTGCTCGACAAGCGGGACAAATGCTCAGGTTAGGGAAAGGTGGGCAACCTCCAAATATCTTGTACAAATAGTCATAGACTTCGTAGGGTACAACCATGGCCAACTTGTCTATATCGTAATCACGATCCGGACTAATGGATCCGTGCTGACACAAGAAATCTGTATTATCTATGGGACCCGGTTCCGCGCAGTAGTAGAACCTGTTGATCCACTGCCTTGAAATATAGGCTCTCTGGACGTTTTCCCCACACGATTCAGATATTTTCTCCGCCTTTTCCCTTATTAGACCAGCACTCGAATTGACTTTCTGGTAAAATAAAACGTAAGCTTCGCAGGTCTGTACTTTATCCGATGTAACTTTCGTTACGTATTGATCGTCGAATTCGTACCATTGGCCAGAATTTAAGGCAAAGCATGTGTAGTGTCCTCCTCCAGCAGTACCGTGGTGACAAATAACTGAATATAACTCGTAAGATGTAATTTTTGACACACAGTCCGTGTGTAAGTAAGGCCTCATGTCCAAACCTTTCAACGGAAAACTCACTGCGGATGATATCTTACTGCTAAACATTAACTCGTGTCTGAATCGTTTTAAATGAATACACAAAACTTCAGGAAGCTGCAAAACCTAGAAAAAAAAGAACAGTTTAAATTACTAATACATGTGACAATGTGAGGATGATGGTACAAATTCTTATAAAAACTTTTTCAAAAACACAACATTAATCTAAGCTTTTGAAAATACTAGGTTTAGATGTTATCAACTGCTATGGTTAATGTCTTGGTATCTAATATATTTATTTAAAATTTTTAGTATTGACAGAAATACATATTAAGTATCTTCAAAGTAATTATTTTTAATTAGTAATATTTTTTACAATTTTTTTTTGTTGTATATAGTTTAGTACACTTATTATTGGCAACAAACCGCATGTAAGAAAACATAAAAATTCTAAATACTTAAGGTGGTCTTGTTTCAAATTAACTGTTACTTGAGAGAAGAAATGTACACCAGAAAGGTAATATTCTCAATTTTCTCCCCTTCCTTTTCCCTGGTCTATGACAAAAAGAAAAAATAAATTGTATATTATATATATTTAATTAATGTTATAAAAGTTTCTCAAACTTTCAACATTATTGAGATGTAAAAATAAAATTAAAATTTAATGACATAAACCCTTCAACTGAAACGATTACAGAGGCCAACAACCAAAAAACTAGGTGTATTTACCTTATTCTTATAGTTGTAAGTGTTCTGATTCGGAAAATAACATTAAAAACGCCATATCACCCATCATTCATTGTTCAAGTGAGCGTTTTTACTAAGACATAAAAGTTATGGAAAAACGCTATCAAAGACACTGGAACACCAATATGATCGGAGATTACTGTTGGTCACTTCACCGAGAGAGTCAGCAAACAACTCATAAGAGAAAAAGTCACATCAGGAGTTTTAAAGAAAAGAGGGAAAGAAAATATAAACCAATGGACACATAAACCTTTTGTAGAATCTAGTATTAAGAATATAACTTCTATGTTCAACAAGTTTTGGGTGCACGTTAAAAATTGATTACTTTTAATTTTTATTGCATATTTAGAATACTTCGTCATATCTAAATAGTAGTGATGGGCAGAATGGAGTATTTTTAAGAATCTAATGATTATCCGAGACCAAGACCGAGAATGGAGTACCGGACAGAAGACTAGACCCACCGAGACCGAATGAGTATCCGAGAACACAGGACTCGAGAACAGCGGCAATGCAAAATCGTTGTATGTTGGCGACACGGTGTGGATTCGAATGCATCATCGGGATATTCTTATTTAGCATAACCCAACTCTGTTCTCGTACTCGCATCAACGGTTAGCTTAGCAGTTAGTAATTAAGGTGCCTCGCAACGAACGAGAGATATGATTTCCTTTACGGAGCACTTTTCTGTAATTAAGGGGTTGGGTATACGCAGTTGCAAGGCCAAAAAAAAAAGTTTTTTATGATTTTTTTCTGAAAAGGTATTTTATTTTACAAAAACAAAAAGTATTGGTACATTTAGTGGCAACATCTAAGTTTATAATGGCACTAATGATTTGTAAAAATATTGATCTGGTGTACTCCTGCAGACGATCTCCTGAAGATCCTCTAAAAAAAGGGGTTCGGCGGTGACGGTGTTTCTCCGAAAAACGCATTTAAAGTTTCGGAAGAAGTTTACAAATAGATAACATTTTTTTTTACTTACATGGAGTCATCTATTCCAGGGCCATAAGATGGACCCTCTGTAGCATATTTTTCTTCAGCACAAGCTTTTTCGAAAAGTTTCTTGGTGGCTACTTTCACACAAGAGTGAATATTTTCAATAATCAAGTCATAGGTATTTTGCATCAAGCAAGTTGGCATGTCCATCAATCCACAGAATTTAGCTACACCTTTCAATCCTATTCCAAGAATTCTCATCACAAATATAAATCGTCTGTTTATCTCATAAAAATGCTTGATAAAAGGACTGGAGTTTATGGCATGCGCCTCACACTTATTATACAGCAAAACGATTTTAAAACCATGACCTCGTTGTGACTCTGTTTCAAATTTTATACTTTACAAAATCACTTATTGCTGTAAACACTGTTATAAAGTTCAAAATTCTATATTCAATAGAAGTATCACGGGGAACTAAAATCTCCTTCTGTAGTTAGAATTTTTTTTTTATGGACGCACTAAAACTACTTTCATCTGTCTCAGCTGTTTTTTGATTAAATACGTTTTTTTTAGATCGTATTAAGTGCACTTTTTCGGTTGCTCTCTACACTTAAGTGGAATTTTGATTAAGATTTAAAGTCAATTTAATTAAATTAAAAACGCAAAACTGAGAACAGAAAGTTAAAACTGAACACACGACTGTACAACGTGGCAGACTCGATTTAGTCTTCCGGTATAAAATGAACCACTCATAAGGTCATTTAATACTTAGGAAAACAGAAAGAAAAGAACAGCTTCTACTCTGGTTTTTACTCCGCCTACTTTCTAACCGTCCTTACAAATATGCGTATATCTCTGAAAGTACTTACCGGATCGATTTGAAATATTCAGGGAATATAGTCAGATATATGTACATTCTGGAATTGTAAAAAAAAATTGAATTTTTGAAAATTCTAAACTGCGTATAACCCCTTAAATATTCATGTTTTTAGTTATTTTATAATTATTGAATTATTTTTATTTTTTAAATTAAGCCTGGCTGCAAATCATTAGTTTGGGATATTATTTTAAAAAAAGTAATGATAAGAAATATGCAATATGATCACTGTGCAAAAAGAAGTTTAAATTATTTGGCAATACAACAAATCTTAAAAATCATTTGGAAAGATTACATCCTATTCAATTTTTGGCCTTTAAAGCACATCCACTTAGTGTCTAGTCCATTTATTTATTTTTTAACAGCGAGACTTTTTAAGAATTGAGTGCATATTGATTCTTGCATTTGAATGCTCCCATCACTATTAAATATATTGAATTGTGACTAAACTGAAGGTGATACAAATTAACAGAGTTCAAATTCGGATTTACCACCCTAAAAGCTATAAAAATAAGCTATAAAGGTATTAAAAACTTTTTTGAAGTATTTTGTTGCAGGCCTGTGTTATTCAAGGGTTATTTTTTATGAAAATAATTTTGTTTACTCCAAAAATCTAACTGAAAAAAGCAGACAAATAGAAAATACAAAATACACATCACTATGTATCATCAAATCAATTTGTTTTCATTTTCAATACTACAATTTAAAATTATTTTTAACAGTTTTAATTTGTTTCGTAATGACAGTTTACATTTGCTTGTTTTTGTTCCCGTAGCCTGAGATATTATGATGTTTATTTCATTATTACATCTTTTATATTAGTATTTGTTACAAACGGACAAACGAAACTTTCCAATTTTGGAAACTTTCGAGGGACAAATTTTAAAGCTTTAAGAAACTTTGAATATTCGTAGTAATTTTCCCAGGAAACTTTCCAATATGTAATTCCAGTAAAACTAGTGCTGTAAGTGGTAACTTTATTGGAGGGTGACAAACCAAGTTTGGGTCTAGTTTACAAAAGTATGAAGAACATGGATACTAAAATGAAAAATGTAACAGTTATTTTTGAAACCAGAAAATAATATATTGGAAACTTTGGAACATCATAACCCTGCAAAATTCAAAGCGAACCATATTTAAATTATGATGAAATTAACCTTGCAGTAACGTAATGTAAGGTGATCTTTGTGCCCATACAGAGCTGGGCAAAACACTTTGAAAATGTATTTAAAATACAAATTACAAAATACCAGTATGAAATTATTTTATAATTCTTAAAAACAAAATACTTCTTTGGCAAAGTATTTTAAATACAAATTACTTAGTATTTAAAATAGTACTTTAAGTACCTATGTTGAATACAAGGTGATTCACAAACGGTGACCGAAAATGAAAGGAACCTCGTATTCTTTGGTGAATTTTTAGGGGGAGTCTTTCGTGTAAAGTTTTTATCTAGCACGCTTTGTTAACAAGATAGATACAAGGTGTTAAACTTAAAAAAATGTTTTAATTTTTTTAAATAATTTAAAAAAATAGTGAAATAATTTGAAATGGGGCACATGTATTTATGTAAACATTGTCTAAAATCTGAGGCCTTTTCCTAAAATTTAGATGTTCCAGTAGTGGAGATACAGAGTATCGGTGGCATATTAATCTAAATAAAATAGTACGCCACTGCACTGCTTCACGGTACCAATCATGATATTTTTGATTTGTCAATTTTCTAGAAACTACTATTCTCTTTTTGTTTTTTGAAAAAGCTTGATTTTCGACTAAAATTTAAAAAACAAACTGAAAAAATATTTTTATAAGTTTATCATCTTGTCAACGAACTGTCCTAGATAAAAACTTTATACGAAAGACCACTTAAAATTCACCAAAGAATACGAGATTACATTTTTGGTCATCGTTTGTGAATCACCCTGTATATTGAAAATATTCATTAACAGTATTTAAAATATTTTTGTGAAATATTTAATCTGAAACTCTTAAGACGCGACTTAAAAAAATATATTGTATGTGTAAGGCAAGCCCAATTTCAAGATCAAAAAATTAAAAAAAAAAAAACTGCAGAATGCAGAGTAGAATGCGCTAAATCCAGGAGTGCAGGTGCATAATTTTTTAGCACGTGTTGTACCAGTCGCCAGTCGTAACAGGCAAAGAGTATTTGTTTTTGGTAGGTATTTTGGATATTTTAAATACTTCGAGTATTTTAAATACTCAAGAGTATTTAAATTACATTTAGAAGATTTTAAATACTTTTTTAAAATACAAAATACTTTATTAAAGTATTTGAGATACAAAATATTTTTAGTTATAAATAGAAGTAATTTAATTAAAAATACAAAATACTATTTTATAGAGATGTTATAGAGATATGTCAGCTGGACTATGGACTATGTTATAGAGATATGTCAGCTGGACATGTCCATCGGACATGTCGTGAAAAGTAGACATGTCCTGAGGACACTTTTCAAGATTTGGAAAAATTAATGATTAGTAAATAGTAATCAGTAATCAGTAAATTTAATATTTAATACACAAATAGTTTATAAATGAAGTATGACGTCAAAATCAACAGTTTGGTTATATTTTTCTGAATTGAGTAAAAATCATTATAAATGTAACTTCTGCTCAAAAACAATTTTTAAGAATTCCAGTAGGATGGAAAAACATTTAAATAAGTGTATTGGCTGTCCGGGGAAAATTAGAAACCAGTTTATAAAAATGTCTAAAGGTAGGTAATAAGTAAAATATATCGACACATATTCATTAGAATAAAAATAATATTTTGCTTTGTGTACCCACCAGCAGTGACCTGATTACAAAGATTGTGAAGCGAAAATAACGAGCGTTCAAATAAAAACGTGGTCAAGTTGGTTCTGAAAATTTGGACGTAGGGCGTAGCGTATAGCAAATGAACTTAAACGTCATCTGTCAAAGCGCTATATCGCCGCTATCAATTTGAATATTTTCGTTTTAAAAAGCGTTTAAAATGGTGTTTTCTCAAGAACAAAAAGTGTTTATCATAGAGTCCTACTTTAGAAATGGACGCAAGATTGATGGAATATGGAAGTATTCTATTGAGGAATGTTTCATAGAATTTCAAAATCAATTTCCCGGCGTTGTTGAGTACAAAATTTTTCAAAGTGCAGTTCAGCGTTGTGTTAATGTTTTTCGTGAAACGGGCAGTGTAACAAGAAAAGAAGGAAGCGGCCGACCTAAAAAGCGGACTGAAGAATTAAAAGAAAATGTCCAACAAATAATGGAAAATGCGCCAAGAACTTCTGTACGTGTTTTATCACAAATGGTGGGAGTATCAGTCGGTACCTGCCACACAGTGTTAAAAAAAGATTTGCGTTTGTTCTCCTATCGTTTAACTTGTCAGCAAGAACTTCATGAAGTTGATTTTCCGCGACGGGCTGTATTTTGTGAATGGTTTTTAAACAACTACGGTGAACTTCATAATATCACCTTTTTTTCTGATGAAGCCTGGTTTCATTTAAGTGGTTACGTAAACTCACAGAATATGAGAATGTGGTCTTCTGAAAAACCAGATAACTTTTTTGTCGAGGGCCCTCTACACGCTCAAAAAATTGGAGTTTGGTGTGCTCTCAATCGAAGGAGGATTTATGGACCTATTTTTTTTAATGGTACTCTTACTGCGCAAAGGTATAGAGAAGAAATTATCGCTCCTTTTGTTAACCAGCTGGAAGAAAACGAAATTACAAACTTTTACTTTCAACAAGATGGCGCAAGGGCACATACGGCAGGCGAGACGATGAATATGTTGAGGGAAGTTTTCCAAAATCGACTAATAAGTCTCAATGCTGAACATGAATTTCCACCGAGGTCATGTGATATTACGCCGTGTGATTTCTTTTTGTGGCCTTACCTTAAAAACACTATTTTTGAACTGCCTATTCCTGATTTAAACCATCTGCAGGCTCGACTTATAGACAAGATTCGTGAAATTAACAATACCCCGAGCATCTTAGAAAATGTCTTTAATTCTTTGAGGAACAGGTGTGAAAAGTGCTTGGAACAAGGAGGGGGACACTTTCAGCAGCTGCTTTAATTTATTGTTATAACAAGGAGGGGGACACTTTCCGCAGCTCCTTTAATTGTTTGTTATTGTTATCACGATTATTCTTTAAAATAAAGTTATATAGTCATTAACGTTATTGAAACTGACAGCTGCTATACAGCTCGTTGAGAAATGAGGTTAAGTTGGTCGCTATAAGCTACTCCCTACGTCCAATGTGTCAGAGCCAACTTCGACCACATTTTTATTTGAAAGCTCGTTATAATAATTTATCAGAAAACGTCATCACAAAAAATATTTTTTTACTTATAAAAATTTCCTTTACCAGTGCACTTTGTTACTAATAATTAAGTGTTACAAATTCAAAGAAACCACTTAACAACGAAAAAATTAAAGCATAATTAAAAAAATAATAATATTAATAATTAAAGTTGAAATTTTCTTGAACCTTTTGTTTAATATTAAAATATATTTATTTTCTTGGGAATTGGGTTCTGGTGTGATAGTCAGTTAAAATATCCTCTTTTTTTTAACTGACTATCACACCAGAACCCAATTCCCAAGAAAATAAATATATTTTAATATTAATAATTAAGTTATATAACTTTGTTAATAATGAGTTTTCAAAACTCAGCAACTTTCATTCTTATTCTTATAATCTTACCTTGCTGAACTTGATGCCATTTCTCAGCTTGTTGCATTTCTCACAGCTATACATGTTATCTCCCTTCAACTCATCAGTACTGAAAAAGGCGGCCAAACAGTCGTGCAGCGTAACAGCAGGTCCATAAAACCACGATCTTAACCAGGCCAGAATCCAAGACACCCATCCATCTTGGACTGGAATGACAGCATCCGAACAGGTAGCTCCTGGCGCTGTGGACCTTCCATGCAAGACAACCAAATGGTCTCTGGATGGAATTGGAAGGGATAAATCCTGAAACGTCTCCACCCTGCTTGAAATTCTGTCGCACGTTAAGCATTGCACTGAAGAAAGTAGTTTTCCGTCAAAAATATCAGAAATTATGGATCTGTATTTAACTTGCTTTTTACTCGAAGTGCTGTTGGTAGAACTTGTGCTTGGTTGTGAATCTGGAAATGTCAATATAAAAAAGCTATTTACATGTTCACGGTGACTTGGGACATTCAGTTTTTTAGGTAAAGAACATGTTTTAAATTTTTTTTTGCATCAAATTAACAATTGAGTCAAAATTTGTTTTTTAAACTGCGCTAAACTCTTGTCTACAACATTGCCACGGGACACCATCGTAGATCGAAGTTGTATAAGCTCGCTTGTTAATGTTGTCTTTTATCTTTTTAAACCAGCCATATGAAACTAACAAAGAGGCAGAGAGAGAAACTGCAATGGAAATTAATTTTGTAAAAATAGATTGCTTTTGTATGAATTTTCATGTTATTGCTATATTTTTTTTGTGCATGCATAATTAAATTTTTTTATAGGTTTGGAATATTTTCCAAATCATTTCAAGCATCTTTGGGTAAAATTAAATTGTTGGGACAATTAAAAATTAACAATTAATTAATAAATGTTAATCATGCCTATTGCAGTTAAAAATTAATTCATTGCAACTGTGAAAACTCGGGATTAACAATTAATTAATTGTTAATCGTGAGTTTCCACAATCAATGATTAATCAATTGTCAATTTTTTAAATGTATTTAATTAAAATATTAAAAACTAACAATTAAAACCTATTATTGTATGAAAAGCATAGTGATGCCAAAACAAAAGTGTAATGTAAGTTATGAATAAAATATGTAAGTACGTAGCAAATAAAAGGCTGCTATTTTTCTTTTTATCAATTTTAATTAAACTTAATGGCAAAAGTTTAATTATGACAATAATTTCTTAATTTAAGTTTAATATCATCATAATATTACATTTTAATAATCATTTCTATACAAATCTCTGTCCACATAAAATTAAAGTGTCTGTCTGTATCGAAGCAGAATAATTGTTAGTTTTAATTGTTTTTTAGAACAATTGAAAAAGTTAATTGCAATTAATTTAGTTGCAAGATACAATTAATATATCGCCACGGTAGCGCAGTCGGTTGAGAGTGCGGTGGCAAGCATTTCTTGGCTAGGCTTCCTACTCTGGTCCGGGTTCGATCCCCGGTGTCGGCACTGGCAATGTCGATGGATAATGGGTGTTTGTCCGCATTTTTTCAAGTGTAGCCCCCTTCCGCACAAGCCTTTGGCTTTGGATTTGGGGGTTGTCTCATTTCTGTGGTGTGTTTTTTTATATAGATTAATTCAAATAAATTAATTACAACGTGCAATTAATAACTCAATTGCAATGAATTAATCGTAATTACTTCTTTAATCAATTAATTAATTTATTGAAAATTTAATGCCCAACACTGATTTCAAGTGATATTTTGTTGCTATTTTTTAAAAATTGCTGAATTTGTTTACATATACAGGGTGTTCCACCTAAGAGGAATTCTTCTGTAACTTTGTAACTGTAAAATTTATAAAAAATGGTTTTAATAAAAGCTGCCTGGAATCATGTGGGCCATGTAAAGAAAATATTTTTAGCTTTACAGGGTGTTCCATTTTTCGTGGGCACTACATAACTTTGTTATTTTAAATTGAACACCCAGTATATTATTGCATTTATGAATTCCTTGGTTAATATTAGGTAGAGTTTATTAAATGTACATGGTGTTTAAAACTTATCGTTTTTGAGATAATAAGTTTTTTTTTTAATCACTATTTCAGCTCTCTTAAATGAGGCTAGATAGCGTCTAATACGTAAGAGCTAGAAACCTGCAGTTTTCACAGTTCGTTTTGGCATAAATTACTCAAATCTTGTCATCTGAAAGCAAAACGTGTGTGTTATTTAGACTCAGAAATACTGAGACCTACATTTAATAATCTTAGGAGTTGAAAAATTTTTTTTTTTTTTCAAGTGGATTGACCCGTATTAATTATCATGGTGAATGCATAATTGAATGCTCTTTCAACTGATATCAGATTGACCATACTTGTCTTTAACAGTTTTCCAGAAAAATCAGGTTCTTTTTTAAAGTCCGAAAAAGTAACTATGTAACAGCGTTAAGAAGGCATTGCAAAACCATTTTTCTCTCACATTTTATCAGGCCTGGGACTGACAGTGTCAATATTTACTGGCATGTTTAAAAAGTGGTTTGACAAACAAAAGTAAACCACTAACAACTAAAACAAAACGCAAAACGAAACAAATTGAAACTCAGAACACAACAAAGAGGATACCTAGACCGCTGATTTACATCAATTGCTCGAAGTGTCCTCCATTTTGATTAATACATAAACGAATTCAGTTTTTAAAAGACTGTTCAACATTGGTTGAATATCTGGCGTAATTTCTTGAAATGTTACTGTAATGCGCTGCCACATATCTTCCGCGGTAGTTGATGGTGTAACGTAAACTTTGCTTTTTATAAATCCCCATAAAAAGAAGTAGCAACTTGTCATATCTGGACACCTTAAAGGTCAACTCACTGGTCCCCCGCGCTCAATCCATCTGTTGAGAAAAGTTTTGTGTAGAAACTGATGAACCGCAGCGGTATTGAGGTGGAGCACCATCATGTTGCATCCACATTCTTCGAAGTGTAGCTAAAGGAATGTCGCCTAACAAATTTTCTAGAATGTTTAATAAAAACTATAAAAAGTTTAAATAAACTGATCCAGTTAGATCCTGGGCAAAAAAGAATTGTCCAATGACATGGGTTCCCAAAATTGCTCTCCATATGTTCAAAGACTATGAGTTGGCTATGAGTTGTCCGGAATTGGTGACGATTTACTGTGTCATAATAATGGCAATCATGACTATTAACAAAACCATTTTTATAAAAAGTAGCCTCATCGGAGAACATGACCCGTTTAAAAAAATCATCAACTTGATTCAACATTTCAAGTGCCCACTGACAAAACGCCAGTCTCCGCTGAACATCTACTTTTAGTAACTCTTGGTGTAATTAGATGCGATAAGGATGAGCTGTGCTGTGATTTTGTAAAATCCTAAGTATCGACATTGTACGAATACAATTGCAAGGCCTTCTTGACGCTCTGTTACATAGTTATTTTTTCAGACTTCAGAAAAGAACCTGATTTTTCTGGAAAACTGTTAGAGATAAGTATGGACAACTCTATATCAGTCAAAAGGGCATTCCATTATGCATTCACCCATGACAATTAATATGGGTCAATCCACTTGAAAAAAAAAAAAGTTTTTCAACTCCTAAGATTATTAAATGTAGGTCTCAGTATTTTCGAGTCTAAATAACGTACACGTTTTGCTCACAGATGACAAGATAGAGTAATTTATGCCAAAACGAACTGAAAACTGCTCTTACGGTTTAGACGCTATCTAGCCTAATTTAGAGAGCTGAAATCGTGATTTTTTTTCAAAAACAAGTGATTATCTCGAAAATGTAAGTTTTAAACACCATGTACATCTAAGAAACCAAACATTATCGTAAAATATGTTGTATAAACATCGACATGTTTGCACGGCAATAATATTTCAACTAAAAAGATCTAATCGACAAAGGTTCCGACTCGCATAAAAGGGTTTCCCCGAGACTACCGGAGAATTACGTTTTTAACGGTTACTTTTTATAATGTAGTCTGACTTTATAATCCGAACTATATATGTTAAACCGAATTTTGTTCGAATTAAAGAGTTTTGTTTCCGACCATCAAAACGGGCATTTGTCGGGTTGTCGGGCCGGATTAGTGGATATTCGGATTAAGGTGAGTTCAGATTAAAGAGTCTATACTGTTATAGGACAAATATTTTCTATATATTTTTATGAAATATATATTACGTTCGCATTTTTTATATGAAGTTTAAACTTTCTAATACCATCAAAAAGAGCAAAAAATTAAGTTGGAGTTTTTGCACATAAATTCTCAGGAATTTTCAAATGAAAATTATCAATCTCTTTTTTAGACTGTCTACACTGAAAGCTTTCCAAATATGTATATTTTTTACAAAGTTAGTAGATATCATGTAAAACCTAAAAACAAGCAACTCACTTCAGCATGCAGTAACTAGTTCTGTATGTCCTGGTTGGAGCACTTTGGAGTTGCTTTCAAGTTCTGTATATGTTTTCCAAGAATAGGTAAAAATATGTGTAGTCTTCCGAAATTAATTTTTAAATTCAAATTTTTAGAAAATACGAGGTACAATCTAAACTCAATTATCTGGAGGAGTAAATGTGACCAATGGTGATCGGAATAACCGCAAAATCAAGATAACAGAATGATATAATGTACGTATTTTTAGATATTTCTGTTATGTGTTCAAAGGCATAACAAGACATTTAAAACAAATAGTCTTAGTCTGTGTAATATTTAAACACTCAATAACATCAAAAACTAAAGAATATAACAAAAATTAATTGTCAAAAAGTATTCGGAATTTGTCATTTATAAATTGAATGTAAAGTAGATTTAAATTTCTTTTTTGATGGTAAGTCGGTAGCAGTGTACTCTACTCTGATGTGATGTTTGAGCGAGATCTGTCAAATAGTTTGTACACAGCTGTTAGTTTTGTTAGTGTGTTCTGCGATTTTTACAATGGAGAATGTTATTGAACAGAGTTTGCCTAAAATGTTGGACTATCAAGGGAAATTCTTATGCTGAATCATTGAAAATGTTAGGAGACATACGGTAATTCAGTTTTATCGAAAACTCAAGCATACGATTGGTACAAAGCATTCAAAGATGACCAAGAAGTGGCTAATGATTTACCATGTTCTGGTCATCCTTCAACTTCTTCAACTGAACAAAACATCGATAAAGTGAAGGAAATGGTGCTTGTAATCCATCATTACAATTTGAGGGAGGCATATTAACCAAACATATTCCATGAATCAGTTTGCAACATTTTAGTTGATATTTTGGGTATGAAGCACATCGCAGCACGGCTGGTTCCAAAAGAGCTGAATTTACTACAAAAAGAGCATGGCAAATATGTTGAAGATATGCTTGTCGATCAAAATTCAGTCATGTTGACTGTTTTCTTTAATTAATGTGATGTTCTCCACGCAGAATTCCTTCCGGGTGGAGGAACAGTCAACACATAATATTATCCTTATGAGGAGTTTGAAAGAGAGTATCCACTGCAAAAGACCAAATTTCTGGAAAGACAATTCTTGGATTTTGCACCACCATAATGCACCATTACACAAAGCGATAATTGTGAATGAACTTTTGACCAAAAACTCAACGAATGTCATCGAACAGCCACTGTATTTGCCAGATATGGCCCTCGTCGACTTTTTCCTCTTTCCCAAACTCAAATTGCCACTTTATGGAAAACGTTTCGAGTCAATAGAAGCCATAAAACAAAAATTGATGGAGTTGAAGTCCGTACCAGAATATGTGTTTAAAAAGTGCTTATTTTGAAGCCAAATAAATTTTGACGACTAATTGTGATATATTGTGTTTTATTGTCAAATTCCGGATACTCTTTTAACATAATGCTCCATCCACTTTGCTCTTAGAAATGAAGAGATCCAGATAATAGAGAGATCCGAATCGTCACGGTCCGGATAATCGTGTTAATACTGTATTTAGAACTGGAAAAGGTCCATTACTTACCTATGACAGACGAACTTAGAACTCTTTGCCTTTGCCTTCGATTTGGACTCGCACATCTACTGAGTCTCCTTTTGGCACTGTTAGAAGGCCTCTCCGTATCATCGCTGAGGCTAGACCTCTCGCTAACCCCAGAATCGCAAGTCTCATACTCTCCTTCACTGGAATCATAACTAGAACTGAAGGCCGGCTCCTCCATCGCTAAGCTGAACGTATCCGAATCGCTACTAGAAGACAGCTCAGGTGGTGCTATTTGTTTTAATTCCTCATGGAGTTGGTCCATGAAGTTTCGAAGGAACTCTTGTGTGTCGTGTTGTTGGTAGCCGCGAAACATGGCATGAACGCTACGAATACCATAAAGAATGCCTGCAAGGGAGTTCAGATAAAACATTTTAACGAAGTTAATTGTATTGTGAAAATGTGCAAGATTTTTGGAAGGTTTCTTGTATTTTCGAGGAGGTAATCAAAAAGCATTAAGACGGGTTTCAATTTTTGAGAAAAATTTAATAATCACGTTTCAATATCAAAATTTTTTAAAGAAAACAGCATTTTTATTTTTTATTGTTGTTTTGCTCTTTTATAAGACATTTTAAATATGTTTCAATTTTTAATAGCTGCATAAATTTAAAAATAAAAACATGTTTAGACATCAATTTCTTTTTTGCAGTTTGAATCTTTCACAATAAGTACAATTATTAATTTTACTATGCACTTTTTTGTCATCAATATGCCAAAAACATTCATAGCATAACTGTATCAAGAAACAGTTGAATTGTAAAAAAATATTTTTGATGTCAATTTTTTATTCAATAAATTGGACAACAAATTAGCCAAGTTAGGTACATGTAGCACAAATTGTAGTATAGTCTTTCCGATATCAATTGAAGAACCAACAGATTGACAGTATATACTAGGTTCGGTAGCTGACGCAGCAACTCGGTATTGAAATATTTGAAAAACATGTTCCCATATTTATTTAGCCATACCCATATACAGGTCTGGTCGAACTAAACGTGGCGGTGGTAGAAATGTATACGCCCAGTTGAATGCGAGCACGGGCAAAGGAAAACAAACACACTTGCATTGTGGTTGATAAATTGCCCAGCAGTGCAGTGCTGCAATGCGGAATTTGGTGTGATTCAGGTAATTTTAATTTATTATAGGCACCTTCTATCAATCATTCATATTACAATTGCGAAAGGGAGAAATAAGAGGGACATTTTGTTTACTAATATTATCACAACATGGCATTTTGGAGACCTTTTGAAACGGAACAAAACGAAATTTACCACTAATATAATAAAATTGTTTGAGGACATACATAATTAAAATATGTTGTTGGGCAAATGAACATATAATAGAAATTTTCTACACATTATATACAAATTATTATAACTTTTTACCTTTAGCAGAACACTTTTTTAAAGACTATGAAACTCATTAAATTTTATTGCCAGGCATTTTTTTGCATGTTTGCAAAGGTTTTCGTGAAAGTTTTCCCAGTAGATACATTTATTAACTTCAATACATCGACCAAGAAATTGGTTCCAGTTTGTTGTTTGGACAAAAATTTTATTTTTATTGTCTAATTAATAGTAATTCTTACTACATGTATATTAAATTATTGCAGTAATAACTACATTAAATTTGCCATGTGAAATTTTGAGATCAATATTTTTTCCAGTAGTCACAATTTTGAGGAAAATGTTTTTTTTCAGTATTGTGCACAGTTACACCCTGTATAGGGTGTCCCATTTTCATAAACATAAATTTGGGTTATAACTGAAAAACAAAATGTTACTAAATAGAATTAACGCTATGAAAAAAAAACTGCATAAAAATGTTTAATAATTTTCACAAATGAAATTATTTGACGAAACAAGCAGATTTCGCCATTCAAATTTTCTCAGAAATCAAAACTGAGTTATATTTACAATTTTTTATATACAGGGTGTATTTAAATGAAGGAGCACAAATGATATCTTAAACCCAAATTATGGTAATTGGGCTAAACCAAGGACATTTAAATAAAGGGGACTATGCATGTCACAGTCTATCTCATATGTTGGGTGAAGCTAGACAAGGGGAAAGCAGAGAGCTTTATTTTCATCCAACTGATGCGCGCAATTACATCTCCAATGTCGTACATTTTGGATGGGTCAAAATAAAATATTTTATAGTCCAAAGTCAATATATTTCAACAGCTACTCAGTATTTTTATAATAAATATATATAATATTTTTATAACTTCTTGGAATCCCAATAACTGTAACCATTTCTTTCTTGTTGCACCATCTCCAGGCATCCTAAAAACGTTCACATTTCACTTTTAGAATACTGAGGCAAATTTTCAGTGAGTCGTAAAAATATATTCCCAAAGAAGGAGAACATCAAATGGTTGAATGAATGCAACTTTCAGTCGATTGCATCTTCGGTATTTTTATGTATAAGTGAACCAACATCATATTTTTGCTGTTGTATTTATTCAGTTTTTATTAAAAGGTTTTTGTCGTAGAGGAAAATGAAAATGATGAATTATTAAAATTTGTAATATTTTGGGTATATTATTGTTTTCTAAAATTTAAAAAAAAATACCAAGTCAGTTTTATAAAATTTTACCGTTATTCAAATAAAAGTTACCCACACGCACGACAATGGCCACAGTTGCATATACATTCCAAAGTCACCTTCAAGCACGCTTACCTGTGGAAAGATAGCTGATGTGGATGTTTATAATCCAATTTCTTACAAATTCTGCACTGTCTAACCATATTCACACCTTAAAAGTTTATCCAAAATACATGTATAAACACTAATCACGTTTCACTTACTAAAATCACAACTATTTTCTAACAAGAGACGCCATATTCTGCCAACCACGGCAGAACAAACGAGGAACACGCTACAAATTATTGCGTAGTTGCCAAGTCTTCAAACATGGCAAATATGAAAAATGAAAAAGAGTTTAATATGTACAGAATTTAACAATATTGTATGCATAACTTAATAATACTATCCTATAATAATAATTTTCACAATTGTGATGAAAATTGCGATAAAAATATTAAGTACATTTCCAGTCAGTATACAGCTGACAACAATGATACAATTAGACTGTGAATAGACCAGGCTTCATCTAGAAATGTAAATAAATAAGTCCCCTTTATTTAAATGTCCTTGGGCTAAACCTTCTTACTTCATAGTTTTCTCATTTGCAAATTACAGTGTTTAAATAAAAAAATGTTACTTGTACAATAATATTATCTTAAGAGATATTTGACATAAGTTTAATGAATCTTGTACAAGCAATTTAACAAAATAAAGGTTACTGAGATATTGGGAGACACTGCCATTAAAAATGTTAGAATTTTAATGCCACTAAATATCTTGTAAATTCAATTGTTCATTTTTTTCCCAATTGTATTTCTAAGAAAACATTTTTCCTCCATTTTTTTTTTGTAATTTGTAATAGTCAACGCCCATTTCGCCCTTCCACAAATAAGAAGTGGATCTTATTTGTGGAATGGCGAAATGGGCGGTGACTATGAGAGGCCTTCATTATAGCCATCCTTCTCTATCACATGGATTTCTATGGCTTACTTTATCGCTCTCATGTAACTTCAGATAGACCATCGGTACTTTCCTACCCTGTATATGTAATTATATGCAAATTAAGTGAATTTTTACCTTTATTTGGTTAAGTTGCCAACCCAAGTTGCTTAATCTGTGTCGAACGTCTTTTGAGACATTTTCATATATCTAATGTTTTTCAAAAACTTAAACACCCTGTAACTGACAAATAAAGCAACTTTGGAGCAAGGTATTTTTAACCCAATTATATTTTTTTATCAAGGAAGGATTCATCATTAATATATGACAGATTAATCTTAGCAGACCTACCTGATGGGGTTACATATCCCTGAGTGATTTTCTTCACCCATATGTCCCTCATTAGTGCTTGGTATGTTCTGCTCAAACCAGGTTTTTTTCCTTCAGACAAGATCTGTACCGCATAGGCACAGTCCAAAAAGAACTTTGTTAGTGGTTCGGTATTACTTAATGCTTGTAGAGCGGCGTTCATGTAACAGGTGTTTCCTATGTTTTGAAGTCCTACTAAACCATACGGCCTGTCGATGTTATATTCGCTGAATTCCTCACCGTCACTGGAATCAGAGGCATCGCCACTCATGCCCACATTCAGCCCAACACTACGTTCAAAAATATTTCCTAGAAATGATAGTTAATTTAATACTAACAAAAGAATCACTTTTCTTTTATGTTTAAATAAACTCGTATAATGTCCTTACAAAGGCTAAGGAAGGAATGAACCTTTTTCACTAATCTCAACTACCCTTTTAATTGTTAACAAATTAATTATATAGCAACATTAAATTTGTACCAAATTCTCAACGTCAATGCTGCAACTGCACCAATGCACCACTGTAGTGTATCGTCTTCCTGATGAACCACACTGAGTAGAGAGACCATCTGTTTGAGATCTGGCGAGTTCAGTGGAAAAACGTCCTTGTCCTAAAAGCCGGGAAACAGAAATTTGTAGATGGCAATGTTTGACTGGACTGAATAAGCCAGAGCCATCCTGCTGGTGAATCGGAATGGATTACTCAGTGTAGTTCATCATGCAGCGAAAAGTCCCAAGAAGACGATATACTACAATATTACAAAACTGCAGCAGCTGACATCAGCGTTGACCTGGGACGAAATTACAGTAGAAAAGTGTGCGACCATCATTGAAAATTCTTGAAAGCGGTTGCATAAATTTATTGAAGCCAGAGAAGGCAATTCTGAACATGTGTTGTATAAGTTTCTGTTTTAATTTATAGCTATTGAATTAATAAAAGTGATTTTTCATTTAGTTTTGTGGATTCATTTGTTTATGCAGTATTGTTACAGTTGAATCATTTCAAAAAATTTAAAGAATTTTTTCTGCACCTTGTACGGTAAATACAATAGAACATCAATTATTTGGATGCACACTAATCCAGAAATCTGGACTGAAAATGGCGAAATTCAATAATCCACACTATATTCTATTAATTGAAATGTTTTTAACTGCAGTATGGATTATAGAATTTATCCTGGATTAGACAGGTGGATTAGATTGGTAGACATTCATGGTAAAACAAAAAAAGAATGCAGTTACTTTTCTTTTTTATTTATTTAATTAGTTTAGTCCTTTTTTATAATTTATGGTCAACATCAACATGTCCAACACATGAAATAAACAATATATAACTTAAAAATAAAAAACAAATTAAATACTATAAAAATATTAGATGGTGGGGACAGTTTAGAAAAACTTTGTTGCTTTTTATGGAACAAAAAAGTTAACCAAATCAATTTCAATTTTTCATCAACAACTGTATTTTTTAAATCAGTATAAGAATAACAATAAATTGACAATTTTTTCTTTCCTTGTTTGATTGATATGGTTATTCAGTAGTCTGGAATATTCTATAATTCAGACTGCTCAAAACAATTTATTGCGAATTATCAAGGTTCTACCAAACACCTTATGTAAACCAGCTATATTATGAGCCGAAGTTATAATATGTGCTTAGCAAGCTGCACATTGTTTTTAGTTTGCAGAGACCCTCCACAGTTCACCAGTTCTGTGTGTAAATAGATATGTATTTAAACATTTTAAAATTTGGAAATTATTTTTGATAAAATTCAGAATGTGTCAAAATGGTGAAATGAGTGATGCAGAGCTTTCTCACGACCAAATATTTCATACGGTAGTAATTGAAATTTCTATGAAATCTCTAAAAATGTTAATAGAATACATAACCTATATATAACTATATTTACAAAAAAATGTAGGTATACATAGAAATAAAAGTATTTCACTGATATTTGCAATGCATTTTGAAATAATATATCCAACAATTCACGCAATACACTGTAATAATAGTTTCCACAAAGAAGCATTTCCAAAAGTATTTCTTCATTTTCAAATTATATAGACTTAGTCTGCCAAAAATATGAACCTATAATGAAACTTTTTTTAAATTTAATAAATAACATACTGCCAATATTAATACATACTCTTTAACATTTTGATGTAAAAAGTAATTATATCCATTGTTAGAGAGATTTGGAACCTTTTATTTAAACATCGGTAAATGCAGGTGCATCATACAAATAAACACACACACATTGCCACTAACAAATAGCCAATAAACTGTCTAAGGTGATTATAGAAAAAGACTGCAAAGTATTAGTAATAAAAGTTTAATATTCTTCAAATTAATAATTTTACTACTTTTAAATTATGTATTTATCACTGTCATTATCTATTTTAATATGCTTTACTAAGCAAATAAAAAATTCTTATTATGGCCCTGATCGCCACTTCTCCATCCAAGGGCACCGAAAACAGTTGAATAGAGATCGAAGTGCTGACGGGTAAAATTGCTCGTTTACATATGCTCTGGTTTTACTGTACATGCATAGATAAAGACTTTTTATCTTAGTAAAGTTCCAGTTGCACTAATCCACAATTGATATGAAAACTACCTATGAAAAATAAAACAACTGAATTTTTGTCATTAAAAAAAATGCATATAATCATATGAATAATCTGAGAATGTCAAATGTGCCCTATTACAACAGACACGTATGTGAGAAAGATAAGCTTATAAATATCCATATGTAAAACAGGGATAAACATTTGCAGTTACGAAGGCGTGTTTCTTAGTAAATGTATCGTTCTGTGTATTTTCAGTAAAATTTCTTATTAAAATAAATAAATGGAGGTGAAAAATAAAAGAAATAAAAGGAATTTAATTCCCAGTCGAAGAGATATATATTTACTTCATACATATTTTAATATTCCGAAAATAACGCAAAAAATTTCAAGGCTCGCTCTTGCCGGGGTAAATTGTTACAGTAGTTACGACAACAGAACTTTATTGGCTTATTCTTTTCTTAGAATTCTATCTTAACAAATATTGTACGGACTATATCAGAGTCAATACAATTAGCCTAATTCATTATCAACTAAATATATAAGTACAGTAAAACTCGGTTATAGCGAGCATTCACGGGAACGCAAAATTTGCTCGTTATACGCGAGTGCTCGTTATAGACGTCGCCGTCGCCAACTACGGTGAAAATTATTGGACACATAATTATAGCTGCATTGCACTTGTATTTTTATTTTCAAACATATACTATTATTTATCTACATAACATAGATACGTATAACTGTAGGTAAGTTACATTACATAGCATTTATTATTAACGAAAAAATTCTGTAATATTTTTCTGCACCACTCTTTTGTTTAATATCTCCTGACTGATATTTCTTTGCAACCGATCAGCGGCATTTAAGAACTGCTCGTTTTCCGGCTATTTGAATTCGACGTATGATACTATGGTTTTTAACGCAGAGATGGCTTCATGTGTCGAAGGAACTGTAACCTCATCGCTTCCCGTCTCTTCTTCATCACTTTCTTCATCTATTGATGGGTTAATCGCTAATTGAGTGATTTGAATTTCATTTGGGAATTCAGCCACTTCGAGATTTTCGTCTACCATGTCGTACTGAACTAAGTCAAAGACCGTCAAAATCGGAGATATGTTGTTATTTCTACTAGTCATAACAAGTTTTTGCGTTCATTTGATGTCATGTGCGTAAAAACTGGTTCTACGATAACTCGTTATAACCGAGATCACTGTTGCGCGGGGCCAAAATCAAAGCTCGTAATAACCAAGCCCTCGTTATATACGAGTTCGTTATAGCCGAACAAAAATACACGTGTTATATAGGGAATTCGGAAGGGACATTTCAATTTGCTCGTTATAACCAAGTGCTCGTTATATCCCCTGCTCGTTATAAGCGAGTTCAACTGTATGTGTTTATTACTATACCAATATACTAATAGGATTTAGACTCGACAATATTATTACATAATTCAAAATACAGTAACAATTATTGTAATCCTATCAATTATGATTAAAATTATAATTTATTTTTTCTAAAGTAAAAAGATATACTATATGCATTTATCAGCAGTTTATTAAATCCTGATGTTATTTATGATCATTTTCAAACACTATTTCTATATTTATTCATGATATTGCTAGTCCACCTTCACCTTTGAGACACAAAGTGACCAAAAAAGAATTTTTTTATTTCAATGAATTACAGAAAACCTGAATTTAAAACATAGTAACCGCCGACATATCAAAGTAGACATCTTAGACAAAGGTAGTGGTTCTAAAGTACATTCTAATTATACGGGTGATTCTTTACAGTTATGAAGAAAAGAGTTCCTATGAACTTGTCTAAAATAGTTTAGGTGTTGGGACACAGTATGCTAACATGTTTTAAGCAATTATCTCGAAAAATCTTTGAGGCACATTTTGGCTATCGACTTTACAAAGCAACCAATGGTGGCAGACGCTTTATAAAGGATCCCAGAATTTTGACATCAAGTATTTTGTAAATTGGATCAGTCCATTTAATTCACAACTATATTTCAGAAAATATATCTCCTATTATATTTGTATAGTAGGTTATTTATGATTTTTTTTTTATTCTGAGGAATTTCACAAAAGTAAAGCAAACAGTTTTATTATTTTTGAGTTATTCAACCGTGCCACAGTAGAACAAAATAAATGATTAAAAAATAACTAGTTTTTGCAATAAAATGGATGGGTATTAAACAAATTTAAATAAATTCAACAAAATACTTAGTGGCACCGAAATTCTGCGACTCGGTTATTATATATCCGCCATTAATTTATGTAACAATTGTATAAAAATTCAGTACATTTTTATATTTATTTAATTACGACACCTGTTCTTTATCCCAGTGTTATTAATTTTGTCAATCAACTTCCGAGATATTTGATTAGATATAAAATTTTACAAAAACTTTAATGCACTTCATCTCTAAAACTAAGGTTACAAGGTGGTTAGGACACAAGTCCATAAGAACTTCTCACCTTAAAATGATCTAAATAACCAACCTCTTGATTATCTGAACATATTTCTATTTAATTTTATGGGAAGTATGAACAAGCAAAAGTAGAGACAATAAGCTACTAAACAGGATAAAAATTTAAAAAATATGTGGGTAAAATATAGTTGGTCCTACCTCGTTCTGGGGTGTTAGTACGAAGGGTGCTGTAACTACCATGTCCAGAATCCCTGGACCTTGCTGTGCAAGCCTCAGTTTCTTGATCACTGTCATTGTAGGAATTTGGTGATAATTCTAGGAATACCTCTCGTCTACATTCATAACACCATATACGTCTTGTGGAAAGATTCATGTGAACACAATGCGAAGGAAATTTCTAAAATACAAATTTCATATTAAGCGATCAATAAAATTATTTTAAATAAATTTTACTGAAAACCAGTATTTATTAGGTAAGGATATATTTGTATTTATAGTTTATTTTAAACTTACAGCATTATGGAGGGTACTGTGATCATTAGATTTTTCAGAGCATCCAATTTGTAAGCAGTTTTTATGCAAGCATATCCACAGGTTAGGTCCCTGGCAATCACAGTCGGCACATACCAGCTAAAAAAAATTTACATTACATAATATTTAAATAACCGCAATAAAAGCTCCAATTTAATTTACTACTTTGACTCATAGTTTTGGCAAAATGTAATTTCATTTAAAACAAAAATAAGTAATGTTGTTGTTGTTATAGCTCAGGAGCAGAATAAAATACATGACAAACTACCGAGTTAAGGAATTTATTGCTTTTGGCTCCGAGGTTAGAAAAAACGTTAGTGTGAACAAAATAATCTGTAAATTACTTAAGTACATTAAGCAAATTAGATATTATAAAAAGACAATGGCAGAGTATTACTATCACATATCATCTAACAGCAGCTAATTAAAACAAAAAAATTTTTTATAAAATGAAACGAAAAAAAATTTACTTGTTTCAACTCTTTCGATGGTCACCTCATTGTAGAATTTTACTTTCCAACATGCAATGCTTCTAGTAAAACTTGAAAACTATACAAAAAATTTAGATTAGATGTTATATAAAGAAAATGATCCAATAACTAAGTAAATTTCAAGAAATATAGTTTAATATTCACAAAAATTACATATTTTTAAGTGCAGAATAGCCTTGTGAAACTTTTTAATATAGAATTTCATTTATGAATGTAGACACTCAAATATTTAACATTCTAATTTAATATGTAACATATACAATACTGTTATTTATTATACCAGCATGACAATATCACTTGTCAATCGAATTCATCTGATCTGAGTGGACTTATTAGTCTACAATTCTTATAATCTATAAAAAAAAATACATACCTCTTTGGAATTAATTAAAGTTGAAATAGGAATGTTTATTGCTGTAGCCAAATGGCTGCATGAATAGGGGTATACCATGGTCCTAAAAAATATTTTGTTTAATAATCATATACCTACATATACATTTTTCTCGTTTACCAATTATTTAATACAGAATTAAAGCTACAATTTGACATCGTATTTATACTATTAACTTTGTCTTTATATGCTAAACTCATACATATCTAAATAATTTAGTTTTAATGTTTTCTTTTTATTTGAGAAACATTTCAATATTGACTGGAAAAGTTAGATATCCACTGCAAATATATCTCTTAGTGATCTAAAATCCCTTTTATTGAAATATGAGTGAATAAGACTTCATACTGAATTTTTTTCCCTAAAAAATTATGTGAACTTAAGTTTCATTTTCGTAAGTCATACTCAAACAAGCCGTCTTTCATTTCATTCGTTATAAACCTTGAACTAAATTGGAAATTGATAAAATGTATATCTTGATTATTGCACAGCGTGTATTTTCCATCAATTCCAAGTCTAAATTAAACAACATACAAAATTTATGTTTTGTCAAACTGCATATCATCAGGCACATAAAGGTTAAGTTTTTTCCCTTTAGTTGGTGGTTACTAGTAATTGATTGACTGTATGACGAGCAATGCTAGATTACGTAAATGAAACTTATGATTATCAATTTTTATCCATATCTAGAGGAAAACTAATAACTATGTATAGGTACAAAGATAACTTGAACTCAAATTAAAGTACATTATTGTACATACCTGCTTTGTTATAAAATTGTTGAAATTACACCGGAATAGAATAGTCCAATTTTATGTTAAGATACATTGTGCTAATTTTATAATTCTAGATTTTTTCTGTAAAATTCATATTTAACTGAAGATAATAAACTGACGTTTCACGTTTTTTCTGTCATATTTGTTATTTAAAACTGTCAAAAATTATTCTTAGCAGCGCCTCTTATGCTATGTCACGTGAATCATTTAAAAATGCGCGGCAGTATCCATAGTAATACGAAAACCTTTTAATCAAGTTTTATCAATTTTGACCGTTTTTACCCATACATTTACTGATATTTACTTTATTATTACAAAAATATAAAAAATGGCTACTACAGGAAAATTTCATAGCCAAGCTAAACCGGTTAAAGTAACTGGTGATCATAGGTAAGTGAAATAGACAATAATTATTGCCAGAAAAGTATGAATATAATTCATTTTTTAGTATTGACGAATGTAATCATCGTCTTCATGGCCAGTATATTCATTATAAACCCTTAAAAGCAACAGAAGGCAAAGAGAAAGTTAAAACTTTTGAAGGGCATGGAACTAGAGAACTTATTGTACCAAGTAGGGTACCTTTGGATGTGCCCGGCATTCTGCCAAATTCCGAATTTCAAAGACTTAAGAAGCAGGCACACGTAAATTTTCCGAATTTATTTTGAGTGATTTATTTTGAATAGCTCCTTAAAAATATTTTTTGAGTTTTTCGAATATTTAAATTGCGTATAGTAAAATTTAAATACTTAATATTTTAAATACATTTTTTATTCTACAAAATTTGACATTACTCAAAAATATATAAAAATTCAGTACATTTTTAT